AACTATGTCTAATCCATGCTTCCGGATCAATGACATATTTTAAAGTTCTATTCTCCGTATATATCTCACTCGTACTCATAAAGAGATACTACCCCATAACCATTATAACAAACCTTAGGTTTACTCTTTAACCTAAGTTATCATAAATAATCAAGTATGTTCTTTAACACTTAATTCAGACATCATCAAATAACTCACACAAAACATATATTTAATACATTCAAACAATACTTGTATTAAAATCATGTTCATGAAAAGGACTATGCAGTCACTTGATAATACGATGATCGGACAGCACTACGGCTCTAAATGTAGTATTCTTCGGTGAAACTTTGATCTCTTCACACACCGGGCTTCTCGCGGACAGAGTTTCGGCTCGAAACTCTTTTCTTCTCAGGATCTTCGGTGCTTCGGGACTCGCTACGGGTCTCGGGATGATATCGGGGCTTCGGGGGTATAACTTGCATGTAAATCGAGGTAATACAGGTGAGAGGAAATAAATTTAGCAACAAAACTCGGTTGGCCTCGCTTTCTATTTATAGGAGGCTGAAAATTCAGTTTTCACGTCGTGAACCACTTGTTCACATCATGACCTTGGACGTCATCAGGTGCGTAGTCGCGATGTGACTCTGTCAGGCTCTGAAAGGTCAAATCATTGAGTTCACATCGTGAACCCTCTGTCCACGTCGTGAACCCTGACACAGGGTTGGGGTTCGTGCCCCGAACTTCAGAAATTCATATCTTTCGCATAAGAGCTCCTTTTTCGACGTTCTTTATTTCCATGCGTAGGTGAGATTATGCTATACAACTCTCGTTTAGACTCTGTCAGCTAATTTTGACTTTAACTTTTATTATATTATTTTAGTAGGCCGGGACAGGAAAACTCCGTTAGGAATTCACAACTCCTTCATCTGACGTCCGTTTTCGTCTGTCTTTTTACCGTTGGGCTACTATCGACGAGATCTTCGATTCTCGTTTAGATTATTTCGGCTAGAAACCACTCGATCTCATATTCGAACTTTGGGCTGCATACCGCTAAGTCGGAACTTCGAAAAATCATAACTTCCTCATATGAAGTCAAATTTAGCCGTTCTTTTTATGCACGCTCTCGGTTTAACGTATTCTACGACTTTCGTTTAGATCACTAAGGCCAAATATCGCTTTATCGTAAATTCACTATTTACGTCGCGCTGTGTAGTGCCGGTTCTGTCGCGAAACTTCGACAGGTCATAACTTCTTCGTTATAACTCGGATTTCGGCATTCTTTATATTTTCGGAATCCTTGTCACGACCACTACAACTTAGTTAAGATTATTCATTCTAAATAATCTTCTATCAAAAAGTCATTTTTGACGCTCATTGTCCTTAAATTGACTAGCCCGGATCTACGGGCGTTACAGTATGTACTCTGGCTAAGACCAATGATACATTTCTTTCTATCCCTCAAAATGCTTATCCCAATAATATAGGCCGCTTCCTCTAGATCTTTCATAGCGAAACACTTCCCAAGCTAATATTTCACTTCTTTTAAGGTCGGGATGTCGTTTCCTATAAGGATTATGTCATCAACATAATATACTAGGAAAGTTACTGTACTCATGGTAGCTTTGACATACACACATGACTTATCCTCACTCCTAGAGAATCCAAACTCTTTGACCTTCTCATTGAAGCAAAGATTCTAACTGCGAAATGCTTTTTTCAATCCATAAATGGATTTCTCAAGATTACACACTCTATCAGGATACTTGGAATGTACAAAACCTTCTGGTTGACTCATATAGACATCCTCAATTAACTTCCCATTTAGGAAAGCAGCTTTAACATCCATTTGCCATACCTCGTAATCATAAAAGGCAGCTATGGCAAGCATAATTGTGATTGACTTGATCTTAGCTACTGGTGAGAAGGTCTCATCATAGTCAACCCTGAAGGTTTGAGTTAAGCCCTTCACAACCAGTCGAGCTTTGAACGTATGCACATTTCCATCCATGTCGGTCTTCTTCTTGAAGATCCATTTGTAACCTACTATCTTTCGACCAGGTTCAAAAAAGTAACCAACATCCGGTATAGGGGAACCAACTATACTACTGTTGGGAAATGTCTCCGTGATCCAAATCTACAAAATTAAGATGTTAAACAAGTAACCAACTTAAGAAAGTTAGAATACTTGTTGCTTAAAAACATTTTGAAAACAGTGGACATACCTTAAATGCATATACAAATCCATGCAGAGCATATATGTGTCTACTACCGATTCTTGGCGTATTGGGGTTCAAATGCTCCTCAATCTTGTCAAATACAGTACGTAAATGTTTGTAAGTGAAATCCCATATCACTCTAACACATGGGTACCTATGTTAACAATTACACTTAATAAGTATATATATGAATTGATATGATGTGTGTAAAAAATTGTATACCTGTTAAACTTGTTTAAATTAGAGACAAGTGTTATACGTTCATTAGTAATCGGTTGCTGAAGGTATTTCCCAAAAAATCATTGCTCTTGCATAAACAACAACGAGACTCTCACCGCGTTTGCATCACTTAATTGATGAAGTAAGTTATTGAAGACGTGGGTAAGGTCAGCCACTTTCACCGAACGTGAAAGTGGCACAAATGGGAACACACGTTATCTGAACTCTCCAAAATCAGAACAGGGGTGGAAATAATCCCCAAACCGCAAGACGGTGATCAAGCAGAGTGCCTTCCTGACAAAGCAAACCCGATAGTCACCAAATGGAAATAGAAGCTCTTGTAGGTCAACTGGATCAAAAGTAGTAAATTCCTTGCACATAAGATAGTGAGAGAGTAAAGGGTGACATTCTATACTCATCTGCATGTTCACGTAATCACCAAAAAATGATTTCCTAAACAAGACTCGACAAACTGGTCGGTTATTTAAACTAACCATGATTTCACGCCCAAGTTCAAGTCTGCAGGTTGTAGTAACAACCGCTTTGTATGTTCTGCTGTAATACAATCAAAAGAATAATTAGTTAGCCGTTTGTGTATGTATGTTCTGTAGGACATTACTGAATACACATTTCCGAAACATAATTTTGGGCCTAAATTCCGGAACAAATTCCGGAATTTTCATCGTATTCCGGAGGGGTTGTTATTATTCCGGACATGTTTTTCGGATTCCGGACGTGTTCCGTACTAGTGAAAATGAAGTTTTTTTGTGAAAATTTTTGATGTAGCATACATATATTCCTATATATAATCTTATAATTGTCTTTAAACCAATAAAACTCAAAGGAAAATTAATAATACCTATATAAATGCATAAATTATACATGTTTTAACATATAATCTAAACAAAGACATATAATTATTAACATAATGGAAACTTACATATAAAAAATGCATCTCATCACCGCTATCGAAAGATATTTTTCAGTTTTGGTGGTGTCTGGAATGCTGGTAATCCAAAATGAGAGAGTTTGAAATGAAATCTGAAACGAGTTAAATGGTATATATAGGGGGGACCATATTTTCGGGTCAGATTCATTACCCATAAATGCACCGAATACAAAATTGGGTTCGGAATGACCCATTTCGGACCGAGTGATCATTTTGCAAAAAAAAGTTATTATTATTAAAACATTAAAAAGTAGTTAGATTACTCAATTTCCCTTAAAAATATGACCGGTTAATTGATTTTTTATTAAAGAGCAAAATCGGTAGTTTACTTTGTAAAATTTAAACTTGAGAATGGGGACGAAGTTTATGTAGGGCCAGGAGGGATTGTGCACCCCCCACTCCTGTTTTTTTTTTTTCATAACTAACCTTTAACTATTAAAAATTTTACATATTGAGCCTAAAACTATAAATTTTGACTTTGGCCCCTCTTATTCTTCAATTTTTATACATATTTTATTTTTGGCCCCCCCAAATCTACACTTCAAGCTCCGTCACTACTTGAGAAGAAGTCACGTGGCAAAAATGATTCATTTATTAAGATAAATATGATCTGTTAATTGATTTTTCATTAACGGGCAAAATCGGTATTTCACTTTGTAAAATTTTAAGTTTGAGAATAAATCACGTGGCAAGAATAATCCATTTATTAAGATATGGAGATGCGTACTTTGGGTTGAATGAGTTTGAATGAACCAACAAACAGTTACAAGACAAGCAATTATTTATTGTAGTTTACGAACTGATAGAGATGTCTTCCACTCAAATTTCACAGTTAGGTTGTCCGGTATGGTGGACTAAAGGACACGTGACATCCTACGTGGCTAACCAACCCATGCGTGAGCACCGCCCCTGAGTCTAATGGCTTGGTTGTGACGTGGTATCGAAGACAAATGAAGACGACTAATTTGATTGGTTCTTTTTTCTTTCCCTCACATTCTCTCTTCTTTTTGTCTCTTCACTACCTCTCCACTAGTGAGCACCATTTCTACAACGTAATAGATTGGTTGTGGAATGGTTAAATAATGACATGACATCATCTTACTCACAAATCACGTATGAGGATACCCTTCAGCCTTACATATGTACCACAAATTAAAAATAAAAAATAAAAAATAAAAGCTATTATTGTGGAATTGCAAAAACAAGGTCGTCTACTAGAATTAAGAGTGCACACATACTATAATATCGTACAACTTTAAAACAAGAATATATGTGGTTCACACAATCAAAATAATCATGCTAGGTCCACAATTTCTATTAATTTCATGACATGATGTTTACACTTACATTAAGGTCTATATATAGACCTAATATAACATAGGCTTTTTACTTCGATAAAAAATATACATACGGACAAGGTCGATGGAGCATGACCCATTGCAAAATCTCATAATAAACAATAGTAACAGCAGTCCAACACATATTACAAAACTCAACATCATAAGGCACCATTTGTTACGCAATACATGACTTAACATGACAAATTATACTAATATTTAATGGACCGAGATTGACATCAATCGAAGAAAAAGAAAATATACTGATATTTATTGGACTGAGACTCAGATTGACATCCATGGAAGAAAATGAAAATACATAGCCTATTGCGCAAAAACTACCTACAACTACCGCGAATTGAAAAAAAATAACACATCAACCCTAAAAAAACATAAATGACAACTTCCACCCCTCAACAAAACTTCCAATGATTATCACAATTCACACACGTGACAAAAGTCGTCATCGGCTCATCCGCACTTCGTGTCTGCAACTGATAATACGTACACTTCCGTTTCCCACATCTTCCACACCTAAACTGATCTGTAGTCGCCTTCGGTGGGCCCCCACGTTCACAGTCAAACATCGCCTTTTCTTTTATCTTCACATTCTCCATTTGTCTTTCTGTACTCGCCATTTCTTCGGGTGTCAACTCCAAAATTCTCTCCGGCTTCACATGTCCCAACAATATTTTCCTTCTGAAATCCGGATTTTTCGGATCTTTCACATTAAACATTATCGATCGGTATTTAAACTTGTGGGACCCGTTTGATTTCCCCCATTTTTCAAACATTGCTGACTCAACCAATACAGCCACCCGATATGGATCACAACCGTTGATTTCATCCTTTGAATCCTCATCCGCTTCCGTGGAAACTTTGCATAATGCTTCGGCTAAAAGTTCACGGATTTTATCGCGTATGGGATCTTTGCAGTAGACGAGAGAATTCATCTTTGGGGGACCGGAATTGTTCGTTTTGTTTAAGTTTTTTTCGACCTTCGCATCCTCCGTCTTTGGAAGTTTGACAGAATTGGTCCTTTGAGTTTTCTTTTCGGACATTTTCGACCCATGTTCTGATTTTGGAGATTCTTTGGTCTCTGAGTTGTTTTTTAATGTTTCTTTAACTATTATGCCTTTCCAGGTCTCGACTAGTTCAGACGCGAGTGATTGGATCTTTTTTCTTGGGTGTTTTGTTAATTGACGAAGACGTTTCCCTACCTGAAATAGTCACATTTTTGTAAATATTAGAGTATATTACATTTTTGGTCCTTAAGTTTTGTTTTTATGGAATTTTAGTCCCAAAAAGTTTTCTTGCAATTTTCGTCCCTGTTTGAGGTTCTTGTAACACTTTTAGTCCTTATTCCAAATAATATGATTATTTTTGGTTACATCATATAGCTGATTTTTGCAATATTGGTCCCATAATTATACTTACTTTACTTGGAATATAGTTGAAAAACAATAAAAAAGCCACGGATAAAGGCCAAACTTGCACAAGAAAACTTTTTTTTACCAATTTTTTTTTTTTTAAATCAGCAATATAGGGACCAAAAATGTAAAATAATCTAACTACGAACACAAAAGTGGGTAAATCCAAATCCATTCCATATTACCTACTTTTCTAATCAGAATTGGGCGAAAACAAAAGAACGCAGGCTAATTTCAAATTAAGTAACATAAGTTTTCGAGTAAAGTACAAACTTGATCCTTGTGCATAACCAAAAATCACAAATTCTGCCCAAATTTTTAGATCGTCTCAGTTTTGTCCTTATATTTGCATTTTGTTGCAGATATGACCCTTATTACATATAGAATGACTTAAAAGATTTGTACTAAACGAAATACAAACTAAGGATGACAATGGAACAGTTTCAAATTTTTGACAGATTTTGAAATTCTGTGTAAAGCATAGGACCAAATTTGCAATTTACTCTAAGTGTTCCTAAAATCTAATTGAAATTGAGGTAAATCCGAATCGAGATTTTTACTTCTGACCTCTAAATCGAAAACTGGTTTGTTCACAAGGACTTACTTGTTTAATTCGTTCTTTCTCATATGACATTTTGTTTCAATACGATAGCATGTACGTGACATTGCAATGAAATCACAAATCCAAAGCATCAACTTTTCATATATATACTTTTGTTCATATGGTTTACATTATCTCCATTCACAATCTGAAGAAAACCTAATCCTAAAACATAATCATAATTCATATAAAAAACTAAACGTACCTGAGTAGAAACAAGGATTTGATAGTTAACAGGAAATTTCTTAAGCACTTTCAAAGCGTCAAGACATCGATCTTCCTCCGGCGAAGATTCCGCGCCTCCGCCTCCAACAGCCGCGGCGTCCGCTGCTTTTTTCGCCGAATCGAACAGTTCAATTAGCTCCTTCTCCATTGCATATCGCTTCATTAACAAAATGGAGAATGGCCCGGCGAGTGTTTGGTAGTATGGAGAGGGGAAGAGAAACTGGACGTTGATCTACACCGGTGAGTTGATCAGACGATGGAGAAGGAGGAGAGGATCCTTGAAGTTCGAGAGCCTTTTGGACGATACACGTGCAAGAGGTTGGTAATGAGAGGATAGATAGCCGCATGTAATTTTGTAAATTTGGTGGTTAGGGTTTTGGCCGTTGTTGGCGGTGGAAAGGTTAAACGATTTGCACGTGAGATTGGTTGTTGGTGCCACGTGATCCGCCTATTGGGTTTGCCTTAGGCCCAAATCTTTTATGAGTAATATAATTGTTTATCTTATACTCTTAATTTAGCATACATATAAGAAATTTAGGCCCAATTAATAATGAAAAAAAAAAAAAAAAAAGTTGAGAATCAATATCGGTTTTGAAACTGAGTCGGTTTAAGTTAGAAATCGGTGCTCAATTATTTTTTAATCTAAGCACTTGTATTGTCTTGGATGAGCAAGACTTACTTTTCTAAACAATAAAAGTAGAAAAATATGTTTTGAACACGCAAAGGATCTAGAAATACTTGCCTATTTCTTTTTTATATGCTTTGCTTTATATTTTTGGACTTATAGATGTATTGCAATTTATATTTTTGTAATTTTTAAAATTAAAAAATATAAAAAAAATCGGTTTTTAAAAAACTAGTTTATATAATCCGGTTCCTACTTTTCAAATATTTTTGTTTTGAAACTGGTTTGGATCCGATTCAGTTTGGCAAAAACCTGATTTGATTTTTATTGACCAAAATTTGATTCAGTTTCAAAATCGCTTCACATCCGAAAATAAAAGGGTTGAATTGTGCACCTCTAATCAATAACAATGTTCATTGAATTTGATCAATGTTTTAAAATTGTTGTATCACTTCTCAATACAAAACACACACAAAAAATACATACTATATAGGGTGCCTGGGATCGACTTTTGAAAACTAAAAATATTTTTTGGTAAATATGTTTATTATATTATACATTAGCAAAACAGAGTTTTTAGAAAAAGAAGAAAATTTCTATTAGTATATACAGCAGCAAAAACTAACTAATAAACATTTCGTTAAGTTTTTTGGTAAAAACTGATAATATCTCAACTTCTCAAGAGGAGAGTGTTTGATTGAGAGTGCATTATTGTCCTTTCATGTCAAAAGCCATAAGTCATTTTTTAAAAAGTCATCTATGAATAACTTTCCAGATACTCAAGTAAAGCAGTGTTAAAAAGCTATTTTGTAATTGCGAAACACTTATTTCACTTTATAATAATGGCAAAAACCTAACTTCAATTATGAAAATGGTTTCAACATCAACAAATAGTAGCAAGTTCACAACACTAAAGAGAGCATCATTGTCACAAAAAACATGTAGGCTTGTGACACTAACTAGTGTCAATTGTTCTTAATCTCTTATCTTTGTAATAGTCGCAAAATCCCCTCCTCATTCTCATCATCATTACAAAATAGCCCATTCTTGTCCTGTCCTGGGTCCTGTTCAGTCCAGTCTAATCCAGTCTGACAGTATTTGTTGTTTTTACTTTTACTGGCTTACGACCTTTATCAGGCCCACCAATCACACCCCATGTTTCAAATTGCCTTTGTCGTGCTCTTGCCCTCTCTTTTTCTTCCTCGGATTTTGAAGCATAACAATACGGACACGTAACCCCGTATTCCCATTCTGGAGATTCCATGTCAGCATCACTCACCGGTTTCTTGCAGCCATAACAAAGCTTGAAGTTTCCAGGCACCAATTCATGTTTTACAGACACTCTTTTGTCAAACACAAAACACTCCCCTTCCCATAAAGACTCTGTTTTTGGGATTTCCTCTAAGTATTTCAGTATCCCACCTTCTAAATGATACACCTCTTTAAAACCTTTGTTTAATAAGAAACTTGAAGCTTTTTCACATCGAATGCCACCTGTACAATACATTGCAACACGTGGTGGTGGACATTTTTGTCCTTCCACTTGGGATTCTGATGATGAAAGTTGGAATTCATCATCCACCCAAGATGGGAATTCCCTGAAAGCTATGGTGCGTGGATCTACTGCTCCTTTAAATTTGCCAATTCTTGTTTCATAGTCATTTCGCACATCAATGACAACCTAATATTGCATTATTTACATTATTACCCCAATTGAATAAGCTTCAAGATGAAAAAAAAAAAAATAAGAAGATAGACTTACTGTATCTGGATCAGTGATCAATGAATTCCATTCATTTGGGGTGACATACTTCCCAACTTTTTCAGTAGGTGATACTGATGGCATTCCAAGAGAAACGATCTGTAAAAAGATTAAGGAATAGCTTAGCTTACTAAAATCATCATCAAACACATGATTCGCTGATCTTGTTAGTGTGATTAGTAATAGTAATTAGTAATTACCTCTTTTTTGAGCTTTACTCTCACATGATCCCATCTGAATGGCGCATCTTCTCCTGCAGCTAGTGGAGAACTGCTTGTGTGTCCATGGTGGATAGCTTCTTCTTCAGGACTTACAGGAGACTCTATTTGTCGAAGACCTTTTAAGCGATTATCAGACTGAATGAACTCAAGAACTTTTTCAACTGATTTCCGGATGCCACATATGCTGCCATTGATTCCCTCTGGAGCGAGAATGATACCACCTGAAATGTACTGAAAGGTATAAGTTTGGTGAGGGTATCGGTGACATGGATCGAAAAGGTTGTAATGGAAATAGGCATGGAATCATTCACATTCAATAAATTACATAGCAATTGGACTAGATTCAACAACAATATACGGTGAGCATTTACCAGATTTTCGCATAGGTCTTTCAAGGGTTTACGGAGATCGGCATGGTCAGGAAAATCAGCAAACTTGTAAAAGGACACCACCACAAGTTGAAGCTCCTCCGCGTCTCCTGATTCATCGATTCCGGAAACGGAAGCTGGATTGGCCGCGACGGAGGAAGAAGAGGAAGAAAAGCCATTGGAGATTGTAACGCCTTGAGATAAACCTTTACAATTGATGTGAGGGATCCGTGGACTAGTAAATAGTGGAACAAGATTAGGGTTTTTCATCGAAGATGATGGTGATGAAGAATCGGGATTAGGGTTCATGGTGGCGTAGAGTGAGTTAGAGCTAGGGTTAGGGTTTGATGAAGACGACGATAACATCCTCAGCGGCAGAAAGGCCAGAGGAGATCTTCTTTGACAGCAGCTAAGCACTGGAAAGGATTGCATTGAAACATGTGAACTAATCAGGGGCTTCTCTGTAATTATCATATTCTTGGTTTCATATCAACAGTTTACATTTTACCCCCTAGATTATACTTATAATGTCATTTTTTTGGATATAGAAAAGAATATAGTACTTGAAGGGACAAAGTGCACGTAAAATGATCTAGTTTATATTTTTGAGAGCATAATAAGGAAGGGTATAAATGTCAATTCATATCTAGTAGTGATTAAATCCGAAACAAAATCAAATTATAACGATGATCTGAGTTAAAAAAAATTAATGACCAATCATGCAAATTACCCCAAACCCTAAAGCGTTTTGATATTTTGTTATCTTCCTAAGGAATCGTTTGATAGTTGTTGAATAAGTTAGGGGTGTTTGATTTGGCTTCTAACCGGGTCCAAAGTTGGATTGGGTCCTCAATTTTCAATCAACATGTTTGATTTCCTTTCTAAAACCTTGGATTTGGTCCAATGTGGGACTCGGTCCATTAAAAATCTATTGATTCGGTCCTCAAGAAATATGTGAAGGACTGGGAAAAAAGGCCATAATCTCCGTTTTGCCCGATTTGCTCTCGCTCTCTCGCTCTATTCAACCGCCGACCGTTGTATGCCTCTATTCACACTCTTGATCAAGAATCTGCCACAACATCATCGTCTTTTTCCCCAATGACGAGTACTCCGTTCAGGTTTTCTTTAATCACTATTTGCGTCTATTTGTTCATCAATTTCCTTAATCCATATGTGGTAGATAATCAAGGATGAGCAATTGATTGTAATTTGATAATGGAAATTCACTATGTTTCTAATTTGTCACTCCATGTGTAGTGTGGAATTCAATTTTATCTCAGTCAAATTGAATCATGCTGCTAATCGGAGTTTTTAATCTATTTGTTCTTCGATTTTATCTGGGAATTTTTTGTGCTTCCGTCAATACAGATCCTCTACTTAAGAATCACCAAAATATTGCTTTTGGTTCATCGTCGTTGGCAATGGCGGCGGGTTTGGGATCTACTGAGATAACATATGAAGATGTTGAAGTTAGATCGATAACCATTTACCATATTTGTTGTTAAATTTTGTGTGCTTCTGTCGATGTGGATCCTCTACTTCAGAATCACCAAAATGTTGTTTCTGGTTCATCGTCGTTGGTAATGGCGACGGGTTTGGGGTCTACTGAGATAACGTATGAAGATGTTGAAGTTGGATCGATAACCACTTGTCGTATTTGTTGTTAAATTTAGTAAATTACTAAATTTAACAATAAATACGACAAGTGGTTATCGATCCAACTTCAACATCTTCATACGTTATCCAGTAGACCCCAAACTCGCCGTCGTTGCCATCGACGATGAATCTGTATTGACGGAAGCACAAAAATTCATAGATAAAATCTAAGAACAAATAGATTAAAAACTCTGATTAGCATCATGATTCAATTTGACTGAGATAAAATCAAATTCCACACTACACATGGAGTGATAGATAAGAAACATTGAATTCAATTTTATCTCAGTCAAATTGAATCATGCTGCTAATCGGAGTTTTTAATCTATTTGTTCTTCGATTTTATCTGGGAATTTTTTGTGCTTCCGTCAATACAGATCCTCTACTTCAGAATCACCAAAATATTGCTTCTGGTTCATCGTCGTTGGCAATGGCGGCGGGTTTGGGGTCTACTGAGATAACATATGAAGATGTTGAAGTTATATCGATAACCATTTACCATATTTGTTGTTAAATTTTTTGTGCTTCTGTCGATGTGGATCCTCTACTTCAGAATCACCAAAATGTTGTTTCTGGTTCATCGTCGTTGGTAATGGCGACAGGTTTGGGGTCTACTGAGATAACGTATGAAGATGTTGAAGTTGGATCGATAACCACTTGTCGTATTTGTTGTTAAATTTAGTAAATTACTAAATTTAACAACAAATACGACAAGTGGTTATCGATCCAACTTCAACATCTTCATACGTTATCCAGTAGACCCCAAACTCGCCGTCGTTGCCAACGACGATGAATTTGTATTGACGGAAGCACAAAAATTCATAGATAAAATCTAAGAACAAATAGATTAAAAACTCTGATTAGCATCATGATTCAATTTGACTGAGATAAAATCAAATTCCACACTACACATGGAGTGATAGATAAGAAACATAGTGGATTTTCATTCTCAAATCCCTGACTATCTACGACACATGGAGTAAGGAAATTGATGAACAAATAGACGCAAATAAGGATTGAAGAAAACCTAAACGGAGTACTCGTCGTTGGGGAAGAATACGATGGTGTTGTAGCAGATTCTTGATCGAGAATGTGAACATGGGCATACAATGGTCGATGGTTGAATAAAGCGAGAGAGCGAGAGCAAGTTGGGCAAAACAGAGATTATGTCATTTGTTCCCGGTCCTTCACATATTTCTTGAGTGTAGATTTTTAATGGACCGAGTTCCACATTGGGTCGAGTCTAAGGTTTTAAAGGGAAATCAAACATACCAATTGAAAATTGAGAACCCAATCCAACTTTAAACCCGGTTAGAAGCCAAATCAAACACCACTAAGTCATCCACCCTAAGGATGAGTAGTTTGTACTAAATCCTGATAATGTACTGATACCGTGCCGGAACCGGTACCGAACCAGACCAAATTTAAAAATATGGGACGGTACTCGGTACTCCAAAATCATAAAATTTGGGATTCGGTACTATCGGTACCTGTAACAGTACTAAAAACCGATACCATTCCCGGTACCGATAGCGTTAATTCGGTACGGTACTTGGGATTGACTTTCGATTAAATTCGGCATTCAGAAAATTGGGAATGGTACCGGTTGGTATATCAGTTGGTACCAGTTCCGTCACATGTCCATCCCTAATCCACCCCCTTCCTCTCCTCTCTTATTTTTTTTTACTGTTTGACTCTAACATACAACAATCGATAACCATTATGTCATTTTTGAACAAACAATGAATTTTGATGGTATTATCGGTACAAAGGCATTAATTTAATGACATTCTTTACGTGTACTAAACTTGAATGATATTTTTTCAACAATATTGATACTTTGGTACCTCGTAAATCATTTTCCTGTTGTGAAAGACTTCAAAATGGAAGTTTTAACACTCCAAATGAAATTAATAAGGATCCAAGCTTCACCTAGAAGCTTAATGAGCACAAAAAGCTCAATTATTGCACGGAATTGTATGAAAATATTATTATTCTTGAGTGGAACACATTTGATAATTTCGTTATTTAGATGATTAACGAAAACATATAATTTAATTTATAATATAACAATTTCATCGTATTGTACTAGATTGTAACAAATTCAAGTTCTTTTCAAACTAGACTTTGAATTCGTTGTTTGGAGCTTGAGCTACTGAAAACTTTTTAGTTATTCGCCAACTATATTTAAAGTTAAAAAACAAAAACTGTCTGAATGTCAGTAAATGAAGTGTTAATTAATTGTTTGTGTTTGATTTACATGTGAGTGTTCTACTACTTGTTCTTTACCTGAAAGCAAAGACAGGATCACTATGACACTCCACATGAAGGTTTGAGTTTTGGACCACAAAAGCTTCATTTTAATGTGTTGTCGTCTCGAGCGGGCTCAAATAAAGTAGGCCGGCCAAATTGGTGGAATCACTTTCATATCAACTTTGTTTTCTTTTTTTCCTACACTTTTTTTTTTTTTTAATATTATTGTGTTTGTGTTGGAACTTTGTTATTAGAAATAAGCATCTGGGATTGGTCCCATATAGAAAGAGAAAACCATTTTTTTTATCTTATAACGTTTTTCACATGTAAATTATTAAATTGATAAAGTAATGAGTGAAACATTTTGAGCTTGGATTGTGGTGTTCCACTACTAAAATGAGGTTTATATATATATAACCCGTGGGAACCACGGTTACAAAATTAGTTTAATTTTTATAGCAAAAATTCATAATTAGTAATCAATTATTTTAAATAAATAATTTTAAATAACCTATTAATTAACAGATATACCAAAATTTTAAAATTAGTTATAACTTCAAATTTAACATATAATTAAAAAAGTAAATGTTTCTATGAAAAGTTTAAAATCAATTATTTAAAACTTTAACGTCATTAAGTGTGATAGTAATTTGCCTAATATATCTCATTGATATATGACATAATATTAATATGGAGTACTATTAGAATGACACATGGCAAAATGAGATTAAAACTATTCTTTTATTAGTATATATATATATATATATATATATATATATATATATATATATATAATTTTCAATCTAAAACATTAATTTTCAATTAATTTATAATTATGAAATTTTGTTAATTATTGAATTAATTGTTTGGCGGTTTTTCCGGTAGTTAATTTCGATTGGTGGTTGATAACCTAAATCAGAAGGATATATATTGACGTACTGTGACAAAATTTTAAAGCATAGAATACACACAAGCAAACATATATTCTCTTTTAAATTCGTTTTTACATACATGGGGGCATGGTGATATTCGCCATATTCAAGATCAATTCTTGAACTGATAGTTTTCTCATTGATACAGATCTTTTGCGAGAAATTTATGTCTTAGGACTACAATTACGTTTCTTGTAAATCGACTCATTGTAATACATATTTTAGTTTTGCTTGTTTTTGTTTTTTAGTTTTGTAAGAACCAAGATTTTTGGGCCTTTAGAATTGTAGAATGTTATAATTTGTGGTAAGAGGCATTTTGGTCCTTTTGGTAATATTGGATTTGTAGAATGTTAAATGATGCATATTATGTAGTTATTTGATGTTTAGAAGTAATGAAAATGTGTTATGTTATTGAGGAATGGAATTGGAATTGATAGATATAAGTTTGGGTATTAAATGCATTGAAAAGAAATGGGATTGTTGAATGCAACTCCACCACGGCACGGTGAGAGGTTTGTCGCAGCGTGGTGGCTAAAGTAGGTTGCTATGGGGAAAAGGACACCACAACACATAGAAGGACTGACCGGGGGTTTATTAACCGAACCACGACGTAGTGAAGGTAAGACCGTGACG